GATTCTGGTGTTGATGTATTTATACATATACATGTACCAGATGCTAAACGACTACGTACAAATTGAAGTGATTGTTCTAATGCATAATTATCATCTGAACATGTATCAAAAATAAGTGCACCTAATTCAATACCAGGTAATAATTGTTTATCATTATTAATTTGTTCAATAGCAAAAAGCATTGCTTCTAAACGTTGTATACCACGAAATTCACTTATAGCTCCACATGGTTCACGTGGATTTCCATATTCATGTACAGGAAATAATCCACCTAATGTAACACCACCTCGACGATGTGCATAACGTTCTGTTGTTGATAATGTTTTATTGATGAATAAGATAAGAAAATAAAAGATCAATCGATAATAATAATAATATAACATGGATTATATGTATTTTAAGTCTAGAAAAATAAAATAAAATATTATTATCAGAAATTTTTGAGTATGAATTAAAATAAAGTGTAGAGATGTAACATTTGCTCTTTTTATTTTTATTTTTGTTATACTTTATTTCTGGTACTTTTACTTTCCGAATCAGTCGTTCTCGTTTTCAAAGTTAATCTATTTGACAAAGACAACAAAAAAAAAAAAAAGGAAGTTCTCTCCATCGCCGCTTCTACTTCTACTGCCAGATATTCCTTTTCTTTCCCTCTCTCTCTCTCTCTCTCACACACTCTATTTCATCTTTTTCTCTTTGCCTTGGTAATTACATGGTTCTATCTTTCTCATTTTCTCTCGAACTGTATCTACTTTTGATTAAAGTAGTTGATTGATTTGATTACGATATATAGTTTTTTTCTTAAAATGTTTTTTTTCGAGGTAACATTTGTTTAATACTTTTCTATTTATTATTGTTCAATTGAACGACTTGCAAAAGTCTATATAAGCAAAGAATATAACTAGCACGTTATCTGTTAAACAAGTGCATCGTGTATGGTATTTCAATACTCGTATTCATAACATGAATAAGACAAGTTCTTCTTTGTTCTTTATTTAATCGTATCCTTTTTTTGTGTTTTCATTACGAGAATACTAGACAAAAAAATTTCGTTAGTTCCATCATAAATAGGGCGGGCGACATGCTCGTCGTCTTCTTTATTCCTTCATAACATTTTTAAGTATTGGCTTCCACTTGTCAACTTGTTTACCAGACAAGATTGTCTGTCATCGGAAAAAGATGATCAGAAAGGCGACATAAGAAGAAAGACACGAAGTATCTCGACCCATGATTATAATAACTAGCGAAAAGATGATTAATGAGTTGTCGATATGTAATAACAACTGTTTGTTAAAGTTTTACTTTTATAAACTTATGTTGCCAAGATTTATATATGGCATAATGAATTTTCTAAAAAATTTTTTTTTTTTTTTTTTTTGTATATTAAATTGCTGTACTCATAAAACAGACATGATTTCATTCTACTGTGTGTAAAATAACGCTTGTAAAAATTTCTTTTTTTTTCTTCTTCCGCTTGTCTTTTTCATGCTGCTTAATTCAGATTGATATTGATAAGAACAATAATCTGCGATGTGAAGCAAAACTAAGTGCATGAAGAAAGAAGTCACTTTTATTCATGTTTGGATCGAGAAATGCATATAAGTCTTTTTAATTTTGTGTCGCTATCGCTCATCTTTATCTTTCTCTGTTATCAAGAGAAATTCTTTTGTCTTGGAAAAACAAAACAAAAAAAAAAAAAAAAAAAAAAAAAAAAGAAGAACTATATGAATACATCTATAAAGCATGAACGACTAGCATCTAGTCATTCAGTGTCAACAGAGGCACATGCATATATTAAATCAAAGTTCATTTATGTTTTTGTAGATTCTACTCAAGTCGAGTTAAATAAAAGAAAAAAAAAAGAAGAACGAGATGTTTTGCATGTCGAATATATTCATTCTATTCGATGTCAAGAACTTTATCATAAAGACATTTCAAAACGAACGACAATATGACATAGGTAGTAAAGCTGAAATCTGTAACAAAAATCTATTTTTCTCCTTATAAGAAAGTCACATCACGCATATATAGACTAAGACACGATAGATATTGTCGTTTGTTTTTAAAAAAAGCACCATCAACATGCATATATTAGAATAAAAAATATATCATTCGTGCGAATAAATCTAATGTGAATATTCAACAATAACTCGTTTTCTTTTACTAAAGGTTGCCTTGTCTAATTACAGAGTTCTTTCTACTTTGTTGTTCACGCACAATTTCCATCATAACCTACCCTTTAATTTCAAATGTATACGACCATATAATAATCTTTAATGCATTTCATCTTTTTTTTTTATTTTTTTATTATTATTAATAAACGACAAATAACTAGATAGAAAATTTTTTGTCTTAAGATAAAAGAAAAGAAAAAAATCTAAAGAATTATTAAAATGTTATTTAATATGTTCATTGGTTTTTCTATTTTGTGTTGTTTGAATAAAATGATCAATTTGTTTTATATCTAACATTGAACGTATACGACTAGTAGATTTTTCATAAAGTTCCATAAGATCATTTTTAATTGTTGATGGTCGTAAACGTTTTTCTTCAAATAAATGATCTATTTCATTTATTGTTATTGATTTTGTTTTATTTACAATTGTTTGTCGTTGAAGAATTAATGATGATTTTTTATTTTGTTGTCGAATTTTTTTAACTCGACGTCGTTCTTCATGTGCTTGTTTAATAGCTAATTGAAATAAATTATGACCTGTATTATTTACTAATGTTTGATTTGGATCAATTGAGAGTATTGAATGAGATGATAATGTATCGTCATCATCACCATCATCATCATCATTTTTAGGATTATTTCTTTTAGTTTTTGTTGAAAGTTTTTCCATTCATTTGATGTTTAAAAAAATATATTAATAGAATCAATTAATATGTCAATTGTGAAAAAGAAAATAGTTCAAGCGCCAATCGAATGAACTTTTTTTTTTTTCTTATTTTTATCGTTAAAAAATAGAAAAATAAATATTATTCATTTTTAGACAATGATTTTTTTTTTTATGTATGTGAATAATTATTTCCGTTGAAAACATCGTCAAGTATAATTTTTCTATTTAAATATGAATTAGCAAATGAAGCATTTTATTTAAAATTAAATGATTTTAGTAAAGAATTGATTATTTCATTTGAGATAATATGTCTATCGAGAGAATTCAATTGAACAAAATATTTATTTCAGATCGGATAGTTTGAGAAAAATATTAAGTGAAGTTCGACGTGTTTAATGTCATTCGTCAAAATCAATTAATAAATAATTTTATTCGTTTGAAGATAATAAAAATGTTATTGTATTGTTAGATACCATTTTTTTCAATTAAAATTTCATTCTCGATTTAGCAGCTATAGCCGAATTTTCCACCATGGCTCAGTCTCCCTGAGGCATCACCATTATTTCAATTCTCAACTAGAGTTTGGCGAATTCAAAATTTTTGCATTCTATTTTGAGTTTAAATTTCATAGTCATTTCGAACGTTCAAAGTACTTTTGTTTTCGATTTTTTGTATTCTGCTATAAACACATCCGACATATTTCTCACGAAGGAAGTCTTGCAAACGATAAATTACATTTGAATCAAGACTACGTGCATTATGTAGATCTAAATAAGCTATTGAGTATCCTAAAAAGACTTTGTACCTTTAGATTATCATTACGGAGATAGTATCCTTTTACGATATTTTTTAAATGAACGTCAGAGTCCTGCTCCCACAAATACAAGAAAAACTTATTTTCGAATTTCGACTTGAAATTTTATACAGAAGCAGGTCTTAATGAGACTAGTTTATTGTGAATGTTTCCGTGGAGAATCACAGCATTCATTTAAGAAATACCATAAAAATACAGTCTGTCCTAGACTTCTTTCAAGTTTCGCGAGACAGAACAAACGAAATTTCTCAACACTGTTCCGCACTACTCTACTATGTTCGCAACAGAAAGCTAAGGACATGAATTGTTTTTAGAGTATTTACAGCTCATTCGAGCTGATATAATACGCATAGTTCCGGCCTAATAGTGGCTCATCTGTTGCACAACTTCCCTTATAATTGACTGTTGCTTTTAAAGTATGACTTGTTAGAATAATCATAAACCCCGACCTGGACCCTATGTAAAGTCCGGGATCAATCTGGCATTAGGTCAAAATTTAATTGTGAATTATGCTTTGACACATAGAAATTAATTCTATTAATATTAAACAATATTGTTTAATAAAATAACAGATAAATCATTTTCCATTGAGATTAACACTCCTCTGAAATGAGATTATTTATTATGTCTGAGATAAACGCTTTACAATGAAGAAATGTAGTATTAATGAAAAAAGAAATATTAATTTGTTATGTTTCTTTTTTCTTTACATTGTTGTACGATATGACATTTGTCGATAAATTGATGGTATTGGTGATGGTCGAGCAAAAAAAATAATACATAATATTAAAAATACAATACCACTTCCAGTAAAAATTAATGAAATAACCGTCATAATTAATTCTGCTCGTGTAACAAACAATTGCCATACAATAAAATATAAATAGCCAATAAATATAGCAAATGTTAATATTATAGTAATAGCTGATAGTAAAATATTCTCAGTTCGATTTGATATTGATCCAAGTAATATACGAAGTAAATCAAAAAAAAATACACTAAGCATGAGAATTATTTCCCCCGCTATATAACCTTGATTAGGATATAAAATTGTTGCATTTTTATAAACAAAACAAAGAGATTCAACAAGTAACCAAAGAAATACACACCAACGATTTACACTTAAAAATATTTCAAATACTACAGATGAACGAACATTTGATAATTCACTTGCACCAACGGCCATCTAGAATCAATATATAAATATAATCTTTTTTAATAGAAAAAAAAATCATAAATGGACATATGAACTTATTGTCAAAGATATATGTTGCTAAGGATATTATATACTTAACAAAAAAAAAAAAAGAAAATCTATTTCCTTAGATGTCACCACTTATCAGTTACAGAATAAATGGTATAAGTGCGCGTCTTTTCGATGGATACATTTGACCATAATGTTGACAATACCAACGATGACTTAATAAAGCTGAAAGACATTGATTAACAATAACCCATATTATTAATGACATAAAACATGATGTACGATGACTAACAAATAAAAATGATATGTAAATAAAAATTTCTGCTATATAATTTGGACAAGAAAAATATTCAAATGGCCAATAACCATTTGGTATAGGATAATATTCATTTATTGTTCGATGATTTTTTGCTAATGTTAAATGAACATAATATTGAATGTAACTTGAAATAATAAATAATAATAATGATAAACAATAATTTAATATAGAAATATTTTTATATGCATATTTATCATCAATTATTATTGTTAAACCAACAAATGGATAATGAATTAATCCAACAAGATAATGAATAAAACTCATTGTTGAATTTTGACCAAATTTATGTATATATATACATTCATATAAACGTCGAAACATATGACAAATAAATATAAGAAATAAACACAATGATAATCGATAAAAAAGAAATAACGGTATATTTATTAATAGACCAATAATATAAAAATGTAGAAAATATGATTTTGATACATCACCAAAGAAATTTTTCTTATTTCTATTTTCATTTTTTAATTTACCAAATAGATAAAAACGTTGAAGAATAATATTAATGAATTTTAAATTTGTTTTACCATCAATTAATAACCATATACCTGGTACTAATATACCAGCTGATATAGATAACCAAAAAAAAGACATTAATAAATTTATATCGATTTCAATCATTTTACTTCGATCTAAAACAATATAATCAGCAATTGATTTCATTGTATACATTTAAACGAAAGCTATTAACACAATTTTTGCAGAGTTAATACGCGAAACATGATGTAGCTGCCGTTGATAATCATAGAGTGATTATTGTTATTCATGTACAGTCTTTGATCATATATTAACAACGTCTATCAAGGATTGTAACGGTGTCTGACACAATTTATAATGGCAAGGAGCTACTGAGATTTATTTAAACCATCGTTTGATGATAATATATACAACACGACTTATAGTTCTGAAAGCTGTTGGTAATAGCTGTTGACTGATGCCTATAACCAGTGGCGTAGCCAGGGGTATGGCCATTGGGCAATTGCCCATAGTTCCAAATGTTATTGCCCACGGATTTATTGAGCTATGCAGTGTTTGAACAATTATTGCCCACAGATATTTTTGAAATCATCAGAGTTACCCTCAGCTGCCCATAACTCAAAATAGTTTAGCTGGTGAATTGTCCATGACTCAAAAATTCCTGGCTACGCCACTGCCTATAACGATCTGTGAGAGATGGGAGTCTATATTTTCAACCTTTTACTTCGACACTCTTTTTAGATCGTGTTTCAAAGAATTTGTCTTGATGTAGTTCAAAAGAACATCCATTGAAATAATATTCATTTAACTTTTACGCTCTAAAATAAAGTCTATTAAAATCGTACAGAATCAATTAGTTTATATATATTATATTTTTCTATATAGGATTTGTTCGCGATACATATATATATATACCAAAAAAAAATAAACAGACATTTGCACAGCTAATTTAATCAAAATAATATTCGATCATTTAAACACGCAAAAAAAAAAAAACTTCTTCTCTATACCCACAATAAATAGCTATGACATTTTATTCTGAACGGTTTATATCTCGAGATGTACATTCTCATGAAAATGGAAAAATTATTTAAATAGATGTATCATTATCATCATCAATAAATGGTATTTGTGTATAAATAATTGGTTGTTCAAAAGAATTAATTCGTTGAAAATTTTTATAAATTTTATTATGTATATCAAATAAATCTAATTGTACATCACTACTGTTTGATTGTAGAGTGACAAATTCATTTGGATTTGTACATTCAACATTTTGATGTTCAAGATTATAATGATAAAAATGTTGACGAGCATTAAATAGACGAAGTATCATTGGAAGAAGACCACATAAAATTATTGATGAGAATATCATAAAATAAGCTAAGATAATCCAATAGTCTGTGATCATTGTCAAAATAAAGATAATAATGACTAGAATTGATTAATAATAGATATGGCTTAGATACCATCGAGATAGAATCTACAAAGAAAAATTTTTATCTTTTTATTTTATTTAACATTATGAATGTATTTTTTACTAATAGATATTCTCACGTACAACAAAAAAATTTCGAATCGTGCTTTACTATTATCGCTATTCTGATTCTTTTTTTAAGCATTTGAATATCACTTTTGTATTTCATAGTTCAAATAAATAAAAAACAAATCAAAATATATTTGTTTATTTTTAAAATATAATTTTATAAAAATGACGATCTAAAAGTAGTGTTGGAACATACGGATAAAAATGTGGACCTACTTTCCTCACAGATCGTGACTAGAAACTTACATCGAAGTCGATCTTCACATTAACTTTTCCCTAGTTTTATAAAGTCGTGAAGAGATGTAAATTCAAAATACATCAGTTCGTACAATGAATATCAAACAACAATAGTCACTATAGACAAAAAAACCTGTAATGTTCAACCCTATTTTCTGGAAGACAATTTAGATAGCTTCGATCACTCTTAAATGTAGGTCTCTAACCGTGACAGATATTGTTGAAACACAATTAAAAACCACATATCACTAACATTTCATTCTAATATAAGAACTACTTCCTTATCTCTTAAACAAAAAAGGAAATATTTATAAAAAAAACCATAATAATAAAAATTTTATATTATTTCAACTAATCAAGACTAGTGTATTTTAATGTACCATTATCTTTTTTTCGTTTGCTATTCAATAAAACTTAATCGATTATTTTATTTTCTAGAAAAAAAAAAACGATTTCTAAATCTCATGATTAACCTTGAAAATAAACTCGCATTATTGTATCATACACAAATGATATTATTTTTGTCATAGTTACATGTAATAAAAGATTGTTATAAACACAAATTAATGTTCGTTGTTATATATCGGTTTCATTCGAGTTTAATTACTAAATAAATAATTCATTTTGACTAACTTAAAAAATGTTTAAAATATATTGATAATCATCATAAAGAATTTCCTACTAATGCAAATGTGTTATTAAATAGTCTTATTGAAACAATTTATTAATACAATAATTAGAAAATAATAATTATTCACACTCTCAAAACTAATAATTTCAAAAAGAAAAAAAAAACGATGTCAAAAATATAGTTCAGATTTAATTACTAACAAGAGAATCTTTTGAATGTTTACTTCCGATTTCAATAATTTTTCGCTTAAAAGATACGACATAGTGTTCTAGTAAAAATCCGGAGCCAAAATTGGCATGTTACCAAACTCGGATAGGAAGATTAAAAAGGAAAACACCTCATTTCATCTCTAAAAAATACTTCAAGTATTTGTGATAAAAATTTCAGTTCGTTCTAACAAATTTAGAGCAGGACCATATATGGACGCGCTATGGTTCTATAGAAAATCAGGATCTTCCCAGCAAAAATCGTCAAAAATCTTGTTTAAATTTTTTTTTTCTGAAACATTTCCATTCTCATTCATGGTGTTCTATCGGTAGTAGAATTTTCAGGCGCATCTATCATATTCTTAAAAGTATTATACACACTCATTTATACAAAAAATTTTAAAATTGACGACTTCATATATTAAAGATGTGAATTTTTTCAAAATATTTTTTATTGTGCAATTTCTTTTAATTATCTCCGATAAAAGATGAACGTCAAATGACGATAGATGAAATGAATTGTTGTTGATTCTGTTCTCGGTGAAAAAAAATCGGTTCAAGCGGAATCACGAACATCTTGCTCATATCTATGGCCAAATCGTCATTTTACGGAACTTACTGAAAATGAATGAAAACTTATTTTGACGATTCAAAAACATTTATATCATTCTGAAATCATCGGGACATAAAATAAAAACAGATTTTGTTACAGTGAAAAGCACGCAAAGTACCGAAAAAGGAAAAAGATAGATATAGAAGTTATTGATGATTATATCCATTTATCAACAAGTTTCTTTTCAATACCAATGCATTGGAAAGCTAAAATAATATATTCATCAAGATAACTCCATATTGTTAATTGAGTTTTTTTAATATAAACTACAGCAAGTTGATGTATTTCAAGAAACATATCTTGTAATTTTTTATCTTCAGTACTTGTCCATGTCTCACAATAATTATCAATTATTTGACGATAACGTTCTGTAATAAAACTTTGAGTTTTAGAAGTTAATACAAGACGAACATTATTTTCATCGTTATCCGATAGAAACTTGACAAGTAATTCATGCCAAATTGATTCGGGTATTAAAGGTTTTTGATCAGTTTCAATACATTTATCACCAAATATATTTTGTTTTATTAACCAATCATTTAATATTTCAACAAAACAAGCACGTAATAATGGTACATGAGAAATTTTTTCATCAGATTTTCCATTTATACGCAATAAACTTATCGATTTTTCTTCGACTTTTCTATAATAAAATTCAACAACCGGAATATCAATAGAATTTTCAGGAATAAAAACTTTAAATTTTGGTTCAAAATTCTTCAAATAATCTGAACATGCATAACGAACAATTGTATTTGATTGATCAATAAAATTGTTTGTCATATTACGATATCGTAATTTAATAAGATGTTTACAAAAAAGCCATGGAAAACTAAGTATACGTCGATTAGATTTTAATGGTAAACAATTACTTTGTTCATAACTATACTTATAAGCACAAGCAGCTTTAGCTAGCTTATTTTCATTACAATCTGCACAAGTAATTCTTTTCATACGATCCGAATTAGGTCTATTTTCAAATTTACAACATTGATATTTTTCACGTTGTTGATCAAATTCTTTATAATAATCTTCTTTTATTCTACGAATTAAATTTTGTACTTCAATTGCAGCTGAATCTTCAAGACTACCTTTTTTACTTCCACCGCCTGATGCATCCATTGATTCACAACGACAAAAAAGATCAATTTCATCTTGAAAACGATATAAATTTATAATTTCAAGTAATTCACTTCGATAAATAGTATATAAAAATTTTATTTCCGAAAGATATTTTTTCCAATTGTCATGTATTATTAATGGATCAAGTGGTTGGTGATAAATTTTTGATATATTTAATTTTTTAACAGTTTCATTAAGTTCTTCATCTTTAATATTCATACCAGAAGTTAATTCAAGAGCTAAATGTGTATGATGTGAATTACCATGATTACTTATTGCACGACTCCAACCTATGACAGCACGCCGTGCTGAACGATATAATTTACCTGAATAAGAAAAACATGCAATTGATTTTATGAAATATCTGCTTTAGTTCATTCATATGTAAAACGTAGTATTTTTTGATTCAGAGTGAAAAGTTGTCATTTAGGATGTTGTCTTCGTTAGGATACTAGGATTGCAATGATCCTAATTTACGCCTTCGTTACTCTAAGATGTTATGTTCGACCGAGCTGAAAATTTTGTTTTTTTCAGACACTAGTAACGCATGCTTTTTTGAGTGCACTTCTTTTCATGAAATTTAATTTCTTCTCGAATGATTTAACATTTAAAGAACATTTTTTTTTGGATCCCAGAATATACTTGGTAGATAGATACTACTTTAGACTATACAATAGTTACAGAAAACTGAAAGTTTGAGGTCACAAAAGGGAAGAGATGCCCTTAACAGTAATAGCTAGGATAATATCAGAGAAAATATTTAATTAGCTGAAACACTTTACTATTAGGAGAGGTACTAGTCGAATTCTCAGTAACATGTTGGAAGAAAGATATCAGGAATATCGGGACTACCCAAAATCAGTTTACTTAATTCTATGAAAAACATATTCCAAACAAGCTCATTTGATAGAGAAAACATTTCTGAATACAATAAGATGTGTTAAAATTCTCCACGATCTATCTTCAGCGAACTGTACTCATTCTATGGAACGCTCTTGAGTATAAAACAGAGTAAATTCATCTGCATTGCCATGAAAATAAACGAAAACAATCTTTTAGACTTATCGTACAATGATTATCATTCGATGAGTATAGATATGAACAAGATGGTTCCGGCCGAATTAGGACCAAGTTAATGCAAAAATTATTGTGTAACGATCACTTCAAGTTTTACTGTTACAATTTTCAAAGTAAAATTATTCCTTTTTTTCTCCCCATAAGCAACAAATCTGTCGAACATATAAACGTGTAGAATAGACGAAGTATTAGTAATTCTTTTTCTGATCGCGACCGGGATTGGAACGAAATTTGTTTTTAGATCGAGACCAAAACGGTTGATTCCACTCATTACTACTACCTGACAAGCTTGAGTACATCTTATTTTGTTCAGATAAAATCTTCTCTATCAGATGAACTTGTTTGTAAAGCATTTTTTGATAAAATTCAGAAACTAATTAGTGTTGGAAAGTCTTAGTTTTTCAGAGACCGCTCACATAAACGTGTTAATAAAACTTTGACAAGTACTTCTTGCGATAGTTACTTGAAAATTTCATGTGTTTCAAACATAACGTATCCAAAATTTATTTTAAAGTAAAGACGGAGAAGGAGGAAAATTAAAGAAAAAGAAAATAATAAATCCTTACCAAGAATATGTTCTGATGGATAATATTCTTTTCTTCCACGTCCTTTCATAAAATCGGGCCATTTATTCTCTAATTTGTTTCTAAGCTCAATAATTTCATCATTTGTTAAAGGATGTTTACCAGTTTTTGCTGCATCTACTTCTTGTGAAATGTGACCAGCTAACTTTGTACAGTCTTCTGATTTAATACCATATTTATCAACAAAAGCTAAATGAATATTTGATAATGTTCCAAGACAATCTTGTTCGCTAACTTCCATAACAACTTGATTAATATCATCTCGTGTTATTGGACGATTCATTTTCGGTGGATCTTCTTGAGAATCATATTCATAAGGAGTTTCATTTGGTGTTTGTGGTATTAAATCTTTATGCCATATAACAACATATTCATCACCTAGAAGAAAAAGAAAAGAATTTATTAAAATAAAAAAAAATTCTTTTGTTATAAATATTAACCATCTAAATCAGATCCTGATATTTCATTTGAATGTGGTCGAGGACCTTTTTGTGGAAAAACAATAACATCTTTTAAATGTCTTAATTCAGGACAATCAACAGCATCGAATGTTCGTAAATCACCTGGATGATGACATGGATTTTTTGTAATAACAACTTTAGTTGTTAAAATTTCACATTGATTAATATGATTTTTTCTTGAAGATTCTTCTTCTTTGGTTAATATTAATTTATTTTCATTCATTAGACTATATTGAATAAAGACTTGACCATATTCTAATACACCATATTCATCAACAATACCAAACATATTTCTTGCTTTTTTATCTGATATACGTATTCTTGTTCGATCAATTAATTCACGTATAATATTAAATGCACATGTTATAATTAATCTTTTAAAAAATTGTTCTTCAACAATATTTATATTTCGAGCTATATTACGTAAAAGAAATACACGTAAGATTTTTTCTTGTAATAATTCATATGCTGTTGATGGTGTTAATAAAGAACAAATAAGCCATAAATGATCTTCGTTTTGTAGACGAAGAAATGTTACATCAGGTATATCACGACTTTCAAGTAAAACAATATCTTGTCGATTGAGATAAAGAGGACCTAAATATTAACATAAAATTTGATTTAGATTTGCTGATTTTTATATCGTGTATTAAGTCTTGAAATCTCTCGACTGAATTTGGATCGCTCAATCTGATGAGAGATTTCTTCAAATTGATTAATCGTTGTGGAATCGGAATTATATGCTTAATGTGGGGCGAAAATAAATTTTGAATATCTTCAAAAAGAGTTCAAGCCCTTTGTTTATGGCTGTGAATACAGTAGTTATTACATGAATGCTTTGTTTCCTCTCAAGAAGATTAATTTTTTAATTTTGATTTGAAACTTTGTACAGATCCAGTTTCGAGGCCTACGTGATATCATTTATCTCACAGATAAACTTTTAAGTCATAGCTGGTCTAATAGTAAAAATACGTAAAGCTTNGAAAAGTCGCTAATTTTACCCTAATTTTGCCTACTAAAATTAGCCTAGAAAGGTACTTTCGGAAAACATCCCCCACACATCAACATGTGCCCCCAGCTGTCGTCTGCTGAACGCTGAAAACCGCAGGTCGCTATGACCTTCCATTCAAAAGTTATAAGCCTTTCTTACACCTGCCTTCTTTAAAAATTCCGATAGTAGCTATTGTGATTTTATGAGAATCGATTAAAATTAGTGCAAAAGAGTGAGCTCAAAATTTTCGAGTTGAAAAACTTTTAGTTTAAACCGAAATAAATCTAATACCTGGCTAACTTTTTGTGAGAATAATAAATTCATTAAACATGATCCAAGGCTCTTACCGTATGATGAAAAAGTGTTAGTTCAATATCTAGAACTAGAACATTGTCTGTCAAAGACGTTCAATCTCACATCTTATAAACATTAAAGCCATAAAAATCGGTCAATTCGGTTCTAAATATGCTTTCAATTGCTATAAAAGAATAGAAGAAGGCATATTGCTCCATTGCTCGCTAGACTTTGGTTATTTTAACTGTAAATTACAGTAATCCGAGCATATGTTGAAATTTATCAAAATAAAAAAATTTTTAATTCATAATTCAAACTTCGTATAACCATTAGATCTTTTCAAGAGACTTTTGTTTAGTCTATAAAAAGAAATATATATAATGCATCTTTATGATAGCAAATATTTAATAACTAAATAGAACTCATTTCAGATCAATATATTATTTGCATTGCTATTTATTTTTCTCAACTAACATATTCATGTCAAAGATAGATATAATAGCAAGAAAAATAGAATTAAATATCTTGTCAGATAAGATAATCTCTCGTCAGTTGAAAAGTCAGCTATTCCCTTTTGTTGAATAACTCGTGTCGCATCAAATGCTATATAAGAAATTATTTTTTTTATCAAATTTTAATGTTCTGAGAAACTATATACTAAGAGATATATTAGAAATTATGGATGATATGACCAAATATTAGAACTTAGTATGTTTCCAAATCAACTTATATCAAACTTTGTTTAAAGTTACTTAAATAGAGTTTCATCTGTTATTCGATCGTAAATGTCTAATAATACTCCGAATAGTTTTCTTCGTATCCAAAACTTAAGTTTTTTCTTGGCTTCTGTAATTTCTCACTTTTATGATGTTTTACATTCTTCTCTACTGTTCCTGAAGGTAAATCTTTAAAGAGAAGTACTGGAATACACTATTACAAAGGTTAGCTTTTATGTTATTTTGTTTCTTACAAATTTAGATTGTGAATAAACAAGTTTATTAAAGCATGAAGCTCTATTAGATTTAATATATGTTCGTTCTCATATCAAAATTAAAAGCTTTACATATTCCTGTACTACCTGCAAGTATCCAATAGTAAAAATTTCTTGCCATTCTTAAACAATAGAGAATTATCAACTTATTGTTAATTATATATAAAAATATTTCGCTCACAAAGTATTTTTGCGCAAAAATTCATACATTTCTGCCTTTAGGAATCGAAAACCTAGCCTTCTTTAGGCATTGTTTAAACAATTTGATCATAATACAATTTCTAAGAAAACATCGCTATATGATCACCTTTGTTCTCAGAAACAGTATCGAAAAATTTAACACATCATAAAAGTCAAAAATTACAGAAGCTGATTAAAATGCGAAGGTTTCGAATAAGAAGAAAAGTATTGAATATTATTACATATATACAACTGAAGACCGGATAAAATTCTATTGAAGTAACTTTAAATAGAATATAACATAAATTGATTTGAAGACATATTAAATTCTAATATTTGGTCATATCACCTAAAATTGTTAAAATATATGTAATTGTCTATATACATCACGATTTGCTCTACAAAAGAAAATAAGTACATGTTCAAATGAAGAGTGACTATCTCTTATCCGATAAGATTCTTTTAAAACTATACTACTAATCTGAAAATATTCAAATTTGAAATATAAATCTTCCTATTTTTTTTTTTTTTTTGCTTTAAAATTTTGTCCGAACAAAAAAACAAAACAATAACAATTCATTTCATTTCTTTTCGTTGACGAGCTAATTCAAGTAAATTTGATATTAGACAAGCCACTGTTACTCGACCAACACCACCGGGAACTGGAGTTATCCATCGAGCAATACGTTTTACTTCTAAATAAATAATAATTAATCTTCCTTAAAACAAAAAAAATCTTCCATTGAAAATTTACCATCAAAATCAACATCACCAACAAAACGTTTATTATGCATTACAGCTTTATCTGTCCAACTCTTTGATATACCGACATCAATAACAGTAGCACCTTCTTTTATCATACGATGTGTTACAAGTTCTAAAGAAACAAATAAAAGAAGAAAACAAAAAAAAAAAGAAAGAAATTTTACTTGGACGACCAACAGCTGATACAACAATATCAGCATGTTTACAATACCATGTTAAATTATTTAAATGTGTATCACGATGACAAATAGTTACAGTTGCACCACTAACTAAATTATTTTTTGAATTTGTTGTTGATTGACTAAGCATAAGTGCTAATGGTGTACCAACATATTTTGAACGTCCAATAACAACAACATCTTTTCCTTGTAATGATTCATTTATTTCAAGTAACATTTCTCTAACAGCAGTTACAACAGGAATAGTTATTAATGATGTTGATTTTTGTCTATATAAATTATAATTTGATGTTGAATGAGCGTCAACATCTTTATCTGAACGTATAGCATCAACAAATTGTTCAGTTTTATCAATAAGATGTAATGGTAATGGTAATTGAAGAATAATACCATCAACATTATCATCATTATTTAATTGTTGTATTGTATTAATTAAATTTAATGGTGTTACATGCATTAAATGATTAATGACATGAAATTCAATACCTAAATTAAAGCATAGAAAAAGAAAAAAAAACACAAATATTAAAAAAAAATTGATATAATATTAACATAAAAACAACCGACGTGTTCGGCGATACGTTGTTTATTTCGTATATATAATTTACTAGATTCATTTCCACCAACAAGAATAGCAATAAGTTGTGGACGACGTTTATATTTTTCCGTAAATTCCATACATTCATTTTTACATCGTTTTAATATACGTTCCGCTATTGGTTTACCATAGAGTATATTAGTTTTTTGTTGAATTGTTTGTGTAGAATCTGTAACAAGAAATCTGAATTGAATATATTTATTAGTTTAATTAAATAATTTTTAAATGAAGAAAAAAAACTCAAACCTTGATTGATATAGAGTTAACTTGAGAATATGTTTGATTGGTAAGCGAAACATTGTTTTGTTTTTTTTCAGACTAATTTTCAAGAATTTTTAACCAAAATGGAAAAAAAAGTAACATAGGAAATTCATTGCAGATATATATAAACCAGTCGATTAAATTCTTACGCCATCTGTCAAGTGTCGTACTAGTACGATATTGATAACATGTTCTTTCCAGATCTAAAAAGTTATATCAAGATGTTTATGATATTTTTTGCTTATGTATGAGTGATGTAGCCTAGCTGAAAAAAAAATATATATATAAAACAAGCTTTAAAAAAGAACACTTGATTGTCTTGAAAACTTATTTCGTCTATTATTAGTTTCGGTTATTGTTGAGTAGTCTTCTCATACAATCGAAACATATTTTCTGCGGATGATGAAATTTGTCATAATAAAATTTAGATTGAAATGCTTTAATAATAGTCATTATATTTAGGTGACTCGTCTGATTAAATAAGTGGCATAACCACCAGATGGGGCGCTTCGAGAAGGCTCAACTTTCTGTCCACGACAAACGATTGAGTTCTACTTAAAAAATGACTTCTAATCTTCATCTGAAAGCATTGTCAGTGAATCTTCGCTCTCTATACAAACACGCTGATAAAACTTAAACAGGATGTTCTTCAACTGATTAAGCACTTTTGAGTCGGGATTAGAGATGTACGTGGCCACATTTTTTTTAGTCGAGGTTTTAGCTTAAAGAAAATGATTTCAAAATTTATTCGCATCAAATCTTAAAAAACCTATTTTGATCAATTCATCCGATGAATATCAATTTTTTTTGGTCCTCGATAATTTCGTTGTCATTTATCTGGTTTTTAATGTAATTCGCTAAAAATTATAGACAATTTAATTATAACTTTTAGCTCCGGTTCAACATAGTACTCAGTGTTTTATCTAGGTTTTTCACTCCGAGGGGGCAAACTCAGCTGTCGGGAGGGCAGACAAAAAATTTCTTAAGGAATGAACTATCAAGAGTGTTTTCGAGTCTATTATACTGACGCTTGCAAAAGACACCGATACGCAAAATATTAATTCGAATTTGATTGAAATTAAGGACGAAGGATGGTCATTTTATATTGTGAAAAATGAGTTTGTTTTGTCTTGGTACAGTTAGGTGACCACGAGAAGTGTTGCCTCGCAGTAATAGATCCATAATTCGGCTAATGATCATTGTACAGAACTGATTTTTAGTTTTTCTTTAATTGAATGAACACTTCTGCGTCGATTTGTATGTGTTCGATTACAAAATAATCAATCTTTGGTCATAAGAGGTGCGAGAATACGAGCAGGGTTGATTTTTTTTCAATTTTCCTGGTATTTTCAATTATGCCACTGAGACTATTTTCTGTTCCTAATCCTTCCATTACTACGCCAAACAGAATGACGTCTGAAGTAGAACAAGATTTTATGGACACGATTGCGAAAAATATAAAAGTGAACTATGTCGAGAGGAGCACAAATAGACCTACCTCGACGAGACGGAATCTATGGTTTATGATTTAGCCACAACTAAGGAAATTTTTGTGCATAAAGTCTTGTTCTACTTCGAAAGATATTCTGTTTGAAGTAGAAATGGAAAAACTATGAGCTAAGAATACCCCCAGTGGCATAATTAGGAACATCAGGAAAATTGAAAAAGAACTCGACTCCGCTCGTATTTTCCCTTCTCTTATGAAACAAAGATTGATTACTTTATGATCAAATACATACAGATCGACACAAATGTTCACTTCATTCAAAAAAAACTAAGGATCAGCTTTGAAAGATGATCAATAACCGAGTTACAGATTGATTACTGCGAGGTAAAATTGTTCGCGTCAGAATTAGGTCACGCGATTCTGACACTATATTTGTTGAAATTATTCCAAAAATGTCGCATCAAAAATATTTTTAGGAAAATTTTATTGATATTATTTTTTTTAAGTTTCATTTTTCTCGGGGGGTCAAACTCGGTTTCCGGGGGGGCAAAATGTCCCATGCCCCCCCACTGGATAAAACACTGATAGTACTAACCACCGAGGTAGTGTGCATTATATAGACTCCAGTAAATTATGAATTTCGTGAAAACACTTCGTGCTGTTATGCATTTTTAACTCAAACTCGTGGCTCCCTCAAAAATAACGAAAAAGATGATTTTCAAATTTCGATTTGAAACTTTACATAAAAATAGATCTTAAACAGAATGGTTTAGTGTAAACATTTCATTGTTTCTATCCTAAGATACCGCTATGATAAAAGTATGTCTTTTACATCGTTTATATACACACTATCCGATTCCATAGGCTTATTTCAAGATAGAAGCAAATCAAATAACCTAGACCACTCTTTCAGTGAAGACTGCTGCAGTATCTCTGCAACTCAAAAACAATTAATCTATTAGAGGACTACTCTTGCGAGTTTTTCTATAACGTTCTACTGGTTGTACCACTAAAAACTTCAGTCAAAAGCATGAAATATAATGAGATTGAAAAATTGTTGGTCTTCAAATGAGTTGGAATCGTTTTTTTTTTGATATCACGTAACTTTTTCGGCTTGATTTTTTCAAAGGTTTGTCAATTTCTCATTCACATGTCTAATCATTGAAATAAACTTAACATATTTTCTTTTATTTTATCAAAATAAAACAGATTGTCTTAAGCATAACTGTGCATTCAGAAATAAAGTAATATATAGCACCGTATATAAATACACGCACAAAAACAAAACAAAAAAAGAAAATTAAAGATTAGTTTTTGAATTAAGACCAAAATTTAAAACGTGATTTT